CTGAATGTGAGGTCTGCGTGAGCCTCAACTAAGAATGGAAGAAATTCAGATCGTTTGCGTTTAAGCATCGCAATCCTCTTTTAAATTAAGTGCCCCCATTGTGCTTTTTTAATAGTTACCCGTTTTGTTTCAGAGGTCTTCTATTTAATAGGTTTGCATTCATCAAAGGTCAAAAATACTTTCATTTTATCAGTTTATACTGGAGATGTGTGTCTTTTATCAGTGTCTGGAATGGTTTGTTAAAGGATTCCTTCTCTCAAACAGATGACTCAGTCTGTTGCTTATGGTGCTTATATCAGAAACCAAATGGTGGTTATCATATCTGATTATATTTCTAATTATTTGCAGCACACATTAATATGGACTGTAAGAATGGTGTTGACATATCAACCTTTAGAATTAAACACAGTGACTTTGATTTCACGTTTCGGATTTGATGTGCTCCCAACATTTCAACAACACAAAACAATCTCTTTCAGGACTCGAATACAGGATTCAGGATTTTTGCAGGTTTCACCAAGTTAAATTTAAGACTTTTTTAGTCATTTTTAAGACCATTATGAATGAAGTTTTATACATATACAGGGCTGAATGCTTAGGATTTTTGGTCACAGTTTATTTTGATGGTCCGTTTGTTGAATGTAGGTTACAGTGCATCTACATGCCAACTAATTCTCATTAGATTATAAGTAGACTGTTAGGTTGGGGTTAGGGTTAGTGTAAGTTGACATGTAGTTGCAAAGTTTCTTATAGCCAGTTAAATGTCTGTTGAAGGAGCAGTATCATCAGATATTAAGCAGACAGTCTTCTAATACTCAAATGGACCATCAAAATAAAGTGTTACTGTTAACTTTTAAGCAAACGTTAGGGTAGAATAATTAATTGAATGCTGTTTGTAAATAAAAAGTTAAGTTTAATTGAGATTGGGACTATTGGTGATTGTAGGATGTTAAAGGCCTGATTGGGTAGCTATACATCAGGGGTCACCAATCTCGTTCCTGGGGGTCCGGTGTTCCTGCAGGGTTTTGCTCCAACTTGCCTCAACACACCTGCCTGGGTGTTTCAAGTATACCTAGTAAGACCTTGATTAGCTTGTTCAGGTGTGTTTAATTAGGTTTGGAGCTAACATCTGCAGGACACCGGACCTCCAGGAACAAGTTTGGTGATCCCTGCTATACATGAACAAAGAAAACTGGACTTGTTAAAAAGATTTAAGACCCACAACACAATATTTCAGAACATTTAAGACATTTTAAGGCCTAAAATCTATCTTTTGAGAACAATAATAATAGTTTAATAATGAACATTCTAAGTCATGTCAGTATCCTCAGCAGTTAAGTAACTGAGAACTTTTAAGCAACTTTTGCTGCAAGGTAGATTTGAGATTGAGATTGGGATTGTTGGTGATTGTATGAGTGTTAATGGCCAGATTTGGGTAGCTATACATGAACAAAGAAAAATGAAGACCTGTAAAAAAAAGATGTGAGACCTGTAAGACAATATTTCAGTGGATTTAAAAACTTTTAAGGCCTTAAATTTATCTTTTGAGATTTAAGACTTTTATGACATTTTTAAGACCAATATGAATTAAATTTCAGAATTTAAGAATTTTTTTATTTTTTATTTTTATTTATTTTTATTTTTTTAAGGGTAACGCAGTTGGAAAAAGGATTTCACTTGACCTATCAAAAAGTTATAAGTTACATAACCTAACTTAAGTGATTATAACTTAATAATAATAATTTAATAATAAAACATCAGTATCCTCAATAGTAAATAAATGTAGAAGTTAAGCAAATGTTACTGTACAAAAGTTTAATTGAGATTGGTATTGTTGGTGATTGTATGGGTGTTAATGGCCAGATTGGGTAGCTATACATGTACAAAGAAAAATTAACACCTTTTAGAAAATATGTAAGATCTACAACAAAATATTTCAGGAGATTTAAGACCTAATTTTTTTCTTTTGACATTTTATGTCTATTAAGACCCCACGAATACCCTGAACTACAGTGTTAGAGGATCAAATTAAGCATCTGTGGGAAATCATAAGCTGACATTATGCTTTTTTTTAATGTATGCATTGTATATTAGTGCTAGAAGTAAAACAGGTAGTTTTATTCTTCTTTTGGTAGACATTGAGCATGTTTACATGCACACCAATACGATAACAATAACAATAAATCAGTTCATTGAAATAACTTGATATCCTGGTGTACACGCAAACCAATAAACTGAAAGTACCATTAAACCATGTTTAATAGTTTATATTAAAATATCTCCCAATGATGTCGAAACATGCATACAGTGCTCAGCATATATAAGTACACCCCTCACAAATCTATCTTCTAAATTCCTATTTTTATTACAAAGCTATGCAGTAGTATTCAAATGAAGAGAAGCAAAAACTATTGAAAAAGTTAGTTGGAATTTTGCAGGTTGTAATTATTTTTGCAATATTTTGCTTGAATTTAATTGTATTATTTTCCAATATTTTTGGTAACTTAATTATTACTTTAATAAATATATCTGTTAAATAAATCTCATTTGTTTAAAGTCACAAAAATACATTGCCTATATTCACTGAGAAATGGATAAGGGGTGTACTCAATTATGTTCAGCACAGTAATTATGATTATTTAATTTATGTTGGTTGTCATGATAAATATTGTTCATTATTATTAATTTTGCGACACCAAAATAGGTACCTATTACATTTTCTCCAGAGTTTAGTTTTGCCAACATACTATTATTCTACTAGTTGAACTTGAATCAAGCCAAATGCATGTTTTTATCACTTATCCAAAGTATGTAACTTTTGTCTAAAATATCTGTGTAACTAACTAAAATGAGGAATGTCTAATACAAGTCCAATAATACATTTACACACATACATTACAAAGATAGCGATTATAAAATATATTTTGCATGTAAATGTTGATCAGATGCCATTTGGTTTGTTCTCATGAAGCACTTTTTGATCGTCTACACACTAAGAAAACCAAGACTGATCATCAACAGACCAAAATCTTTCATTAAAAAGGAACTCAAAGACAGAGTTTGCAAACCTTAAGTTGTTCGGGTCATTTAGCAGACAATCCTTAAGGGGAAATTGACAGACAAACTTAAAAAGCAGATGTTAAGGACACACTCACAGATGTGGTCAAAGTCACTCGTCTTGTCTTAGTCAACATATGGCTATGAGAGCTCATGCTGTTATGGTAATGATCACATTTGGGATGCCTTGTAATTTAACTCATTTGACTGTGAAGTATTTCATCAAGTCTGTATCATTCAGAATGGTCAGTAATGCTACATACATTTTCTCCATAGGTGCTTCAGATAGGTTGAAGGACATGTACAGATAGCATATGGCCGTGTACCTCTGAGTCTTCTGCCTCATCTGAGGAAGATTTGTTATGCTCTACGACCTCACAAGGTGACATTGCTAGGCCAAAGTCAGCAGTCAGTGCAGCCACTGAAGCATGACAGGAAATCAACAGTCTGTGTATGTTGACCTGACTTCAAAACATGGTTCATGTGAGTAGCTGTTTTTCTATAAGTCCCAGTAGTGTGCACATACATTCATCTGCTTTCATTTCCATAACCTTCCCAGGCAGGTAAATTCATCATTGGGAAAAGTTAACCCCAAAAATGTAACTCTTTTCACATCTATCGGCACTAAATAGAGTTCACAGAAATGCAGGAGAATAATCTTTTGTTTGGTTCCACTAATAAGCTTTGAGTTTCTAAAGAGTCTTATTGTGGATTGAAAAGGTTCCAGGGGTGTTTAATGTTCTTTATGAAACCATAAATCTAGCATATAGGTCACTTCTTCTTCAGTAAAACATTGAAGCATATATTTATAGCTGAAACCATCGTCTTTGGTGTTTCTTAAAATGCAATTCAATGGCTATATACTGACACTCTGAGAGTAAAGTTAGAGAGGAAAGACGTGTGCTGTATTGTTCATCAAATTGAAACTCATTCTCATAATGGATGCAGAGGTCTTTATAAAATTATAAGATTATATTTGTGCATGCAACCTCAACTGTAGGGACTGATATTCCCCTGATTCCCAATATTCGATATATGTCATTATGTGACAGGAAACTAATATTCCTGACATTTGTGAACAATTTTAATGCTGTAAATGATCTTTGGTTTACTTCCATAGGGATCCCTTGGTATTAATTTCGTTTTGCCTGTATATGTTGACCCTCAAAGTGCCTGAAGCCATTGATCGGAATTTTATGAGTCCCCAAGGAACAAGGTTTCAACTAAAAATCTTCTTTAATATTCGGCTGTAGAAAGATGTCACTAACATCTTGGATCGCCTGAGGCTGAGTAAATCAAAAACAAAATGTTATTTTTTTGATGAACTATCCTAATGAGAGTGGACATTGCAGACATGCGCGACCTTCCTCTATTGAACACGAGCAAATGTTTTTGATCATGAAATAGACACACTTTTATGTTTTCAAAAAAACACAAAATTAACATTGATATAACATTGGGTTAGCAGTATGATAGCATATTTTTATTTTTGGCTTAATTATCCCCTTAAGCTGGCAGCCTTGGTAGAAGGCCTTTAGCTGGACTAAACTAGTCATTTGCTGGTACAAGCTGGTCATTAGTTAATTAGACCAGCAACAAACCAGCTAATGGCTGTTCCTATAATATTAACCCATTTCTTTGGCATGATTAGACCAGCAAGAAACACTCTAATGTAAGAGAGAGCACTGTGTTTGGACCATCCAGCAAAATGAGCCCTGTTTTATACCAGTGTTTAGTAAACGCGTTTGGTTTTAGTGCTGTGCGGCGTTGTCGCTGTCCGTGGTGCTGAATGCAGAATCGCTCACCATAGCGCCAGGCCTACAGTCGCGTTTCCGCAACAACCCACAGCAGCACGTGTGCACATGCCGAGATGGACCCTGTAATGCAAATGGGGTCCCGGTCATGGTGTAAATAGATATAATAAGGCATAACAGTCGCCTTACCTTCCAAGCAACATGTCCTCCACAGTCCCGAGTGGGTCATCACCTCTTCGTTCTTCTTGCTGGTCTCGTTCTCGTTGTTGGTCTTGATCTTACAGACGCCGCGCGAGTACAGCCAGTAGTCCGTGCCCACCGCGATGGTCATGAGACTGAAGGCAGCGAACGCGCCCACCGTGGTCAATAACATCTGAACTCCGCGGTCAAACACACCCATGTTTCCGCATTCCATGAAAGGGGGACCCCCTTTCCTCTTGATGTATAGGAAATAAATATTTGAAAATTTACGGGACCAAACCAAATTTAAAAAATGGGATATATTTGAGCGAAAGGAGGGGGAAGGGGGAGGATGCGGTAGGAACCTTATGGTTGCGTTTGGGTGAGAACGATTAAGGAAGAAATAGGTGAGCCTTTTAGGCTGTTTTGGGAGGGAGGAACGGTACGCTTTACGCGCTGTTCCAACAAAGAGCAATTCTACCCTTCCGAATCGTTTGTCCTTGTCTTTTTTCTAAACGAGGTAAAGATATGCAGCAGCTAGTGCTACAGCTTAAACTTACGCGAACATTCACGCCGCAAAGCCACTAATCAAAGATAATAATTAATTGCACAGGCCTTTAGTAATGGCCTGGGCATGTCATTCAAACGCCACAGCAATTAAGCCAATGCTCGCTCTTAATTATGACAATTTAGGCGCGTAGATTTGATGTGTTTGGAATTGAGGATAAATACTGGTTCAGGAAGGATACTGGCAATGGAAGGCTTTGCTTCGGGTCGTAATATATCTATAAACAATTCGATGTGGTTACAACAACTGTTGACCCATGTAGCTGCTTAACAAACACGCTGTCCTCTCTTAATATTGCTAAGCAAACCCCAGTCTATTCTAATCAAGAAGGAAAGACGCAGAGAGAGAGAGAGAGAGAGAGAGAGAGAGAGAGAGAGAGAGAGAGAGAGAGAGAGAGAGAGAGAGAGAGAGAACAGGGAAAGCTCTATTGAAGAAAAAATATAGGATAGATGGATGGATGGCCAGGATAGTCCAGTTCAAAACCAACGAAAAGAATGTCCAGGCGAATCTGAATCCGCTGCTGCCGCTCTCGCATCAATTTGACAAATCAAGTCAACGTGGGATGAGAAAATTCATCGAGAACCAAACATAAATGAGCAAAATGGAGTAATAAAATAAAGCACTACTATATATCCTTTTTCCTAAAATTCTGATCCCCAGTTTCCATATGTATCTCCTAGCTCTTTGAAGGTTTCTTCCGAAAATGGCAATCTGCTGTTGAATATGGTGCCGTCGAAGATCCGGTTAGAGCAGGGAGCATCCAGCAGAACGAGCCGACCATTACTCGTCATAGAGCCGGCTAGAGGAGACCGAGAAGGCGGAGGCGCCGGAACTGCTGTTTTCTACACCCGTCACTGAAGCTCGCTTATCCAAATCCGCGTTGGCTTTCTCGCACCCCGAACCGTCCCGCTTGCAGAGCCCTTGCGCCATGTAAAAGACAAAAACACCTGAGAATGAGGAGCGTGGCGTGCTGGAAAAGGAGGATACGGCTCTGCTTCTGTCCCCTTTGCTTGTGTGCTAGTGAAGATTTGGGAGAGGGATGTAGGCAGGCGTGCTGGGGCTCAGGATGAGAGAGAGCGAGAGAAAGAGAGAAAGAGAGAGAGAGAGAGAGAGAGAGAGAGAGAGAGAGAGAGAGAGAGAGAGAGAGAATGAGAATTACACAACAGAGAAGGGATGTGCGGCGACAGAAAAGGGTGCAGTAAAACTCTTATTTGGACGGAGCGAAACGACACGGATATAAACTAATTTTCCTCAAGAATAGCAGATTTTAATCGATTCTTACATTCTGACTGACTGTACTGGGTTGTACGGACTGCATGTTTTGTGGATTATGTAATCGAGTTACTAAAATCAAGTTGCTTTAATTAGAATAGCCCACGTTTCATTTTAAAATAGCCAAATTTTCAGACATGACAACGTAAAATCCTTAATTACTAGACGTCTTAAAATATTTGTGCTTATTTATAATTTTTGAAGTATTGTAAGCGAATTTTAAATAGGATTTATGTATGTTTTAAATGTTTTAGACAACAACACTGATCATATTTGTATAGACATTGTATTTTAACCTAATTGCATTTACTGAAACGGCAGAGTACATAACAGCATTTCTAAATGTTTCTATATGTACATATGTGTGTGTGTATTTTCCGAGGTCTTAGTAAGTATACATAATTATCTCTATTCATATCAAATAAAATGTTTTCACATAAGCATGTTGCACTGTATTGCATTTATTTCTGTGTGAAAAAGTGTTTGCCCTTAAATCTAATAATTGGTTGGACTATACCCTTAGCAGCAACGACTGCAATCAAGTGTTTTCGATAACAGGTATTTTGCGGAGGTATTTTGGCCAGCATGTTTTCAGAATTGTTGTAATTCAGCAAAATTTGAGGGTTTTTGAGAATGAACCACCTTTTAAGGTCATGCCACTGCATCTCAATTGGATTCAGGTCAGGACATTGATTAGACCACTCTAAAGTCTTAATTTTGTTCTTCCGCCATTCAGAAGTGCACTTGTTGATGTGCTTTGGATCATTATCCTGCTGCAGAACCCAAGTTTGGTCACTTAAGGTCACTAACAGATTGCCAGACATTCCCCTTTAGGATATTTGAAAACAGCAAAATTCATGGTTCCATTTATCACAGCAAGTCTTCCAGGTCCTGAAGCTGCAAAACAGACCCAGACCATCACATCACCTCCACCACCACATTATACTGTTGGTATGATGTTATATAAATATTTTTTTTAATATGGTGCAACTTATATGTCACACATAATGGGACAGGCACCTTCCAAAATGTTAAACTTTTGTCTCTTCAGGCCATGGTGTATTTTCCCAGAAGACGTATGGATCATCTAGATGTTTTCTGGCTAAACTGTCATAAGCCTTTATGTTCTTTTTGCTCAGCAGTGATTTTTGGCTTGGAACTCCGCCAATCAAATCATATTTGCCCAATCTCTTTCCTATGGCGATGTCATGAACTCTCACCTTAACTGAGGCAATTGAGGCTTGTAGTTCTTTGGATGTTGTTGTGGGATATTTTGTGATCTTTTGTGATCTCTTGGATGAGTTGCTGTTGCTTCTTGGAACAAATTTGGCCAAACTTTTGCATGTTTTTGCCATTTCTAGATATTTGCTCTCACTGTTGTTTACTTTTCAGTTATCAGCAGTTTTCACTTTTCAACATTAAAATTAATCTGATGATCTGAAACATTAAAGTGATATGTATAAATATACACAACGGCCACTTTTTTAGGTTTACCTGTCCCAATGCTAGTTAATGCAAAATTTTAATCACATGGCGGCAACTCAATGCATTTAGTCATGTAGACAAGACGATCTGCTCTTAAAGGTGATTTAAGAATGACTTTGAATGTGGCATGGTTGTTGGGGCCAGACAGGCTGGTCTGAGTATTTTAGAAATTGCTGATCTACTGGGGTTTTGCACAACCATCTCTGGGGTTTACAGAGAATGGTCCAAAAAAGATGGTCCAAAATGTCCAGTGAGAGGCAGTTCTGTGGGTCTTGTTGATGCCAGAGATCAGAAGAGAATGACCAAACTGGTTCTAGCTCATAGAAAGGCAACAGTAACTCAAATAACCACTTGTTATAACTAAGGTATGCAGAAGAGCATCTCTAAACACACAACATGTCCAACCTTGAGGCAGATGGGCTACAGCAGCAGAAGACAACACCAGGTGTCAACCAGACCTGTCAGCTAAGAACAGGAAACTGAGGCTACAATTCACACAGGCTCACCAAAATTGGACAATAGAAGATAGGAAAAACGTTGTCATGGTTCAGGGGATATTTTCTTGGCACACTTTGGCCCCATTAGTGCCAATTGAGCCTCGTGTCAACATAACAGTCTACCTGAGTATTGTTGCTGACCACGTCCATCCGTATATGACCCTTTATAACACGCCATATCATAAAGCGTGAATCATCTCCGATGGTTTCTTGAACATGACAATTAGTTCACTGTACTCAAATGGCCTCCACAGTCACCAGACTCAATCCAGTAGAGCACCTTTATGCTTTGTGTGGTGGAACAGGAGAATCTATGCACAAAGGATTAAGGCAGCTGTGAGGCCAAAGGGGGTCCAACCCAGTAAGTAAGGTGTACTTAATAAAGTGGATGGTGGCTATATATATATATATATATATATATATATATATATATATATATATATATATATATATATATATATATATATATATATATATATATGTATGTATGTGTGTGCGTGTGTGTGTGTTTGTGTGTGTGTGTGCGTGCGTGCGTGTGTGTGTGTGTGTGTGTGTGTGTGTGTGTTTTTGTGTAAGTGAAGGTAAGTATTCAACACGTCACTGTTTATCTCGGAAACATATTTCTAAAGGTGCTACTGACTTGAAATTTTCACCAGATGTTGGTCACAAACAAAGAAATATATGGTAACACTTTATAATAACTACAAACTATGAATCATTTATTAAGCATTAGCTTATAGTTAATTCATTGTTTGTTAAGCATTAACTCTACATTAATAGACATTAGTAAGCAGTTTATAAATACAGCTACAAATGCTGTATTCTTGACTTATAAACACATTTATATATCACATTATACAACTGCTTACTAAATTTTATTAATGTAGTTAATGCTTAACAAATGATGAATTCACCATGCTAATGCTTAATAAATAATTCATAGTGTTTAGGTGTTATAAAGGTTTACCAAATATGTATATGAAAAGAAAACAAATCTAATTAATTTACAAATTAAGTTATGTGTAGTAAAATGAAACATATGAAGAAAGGGAAGTGTAAAAAGGCAGTAAAAGACCAGACAGCAGCTGATATATAATAGTTATGCAATAAATGAATGTCATGTGTTCAATACTTTTTTTCAATGTTATGTTTCATTTTATTACACATAATAACTTAATTTGTAAACTAATTAGATTTGTTTTCTTTTCATATACATATTTGCTATAACTTTATAACAACTACTGAAAATAAAATATTTAAAAATATATTTTTTTGTTTTATTTTAATGCATTAAACTCAGTATTTTGATGTTATCACCACTACCCGCTTTTCTCTGGCGTATTTGCTATTTTTTTCACTTCATGTTTTTAATTTCTCAACTGTATTCATCACTCTGTTGCCCACATAATAAAGCACACTTCTCTCCTCCCATCAGTTTTTCAATAAATCAATTATTTTATGCAAATAACCCACATAAGCAACATATCCACATCCAGCTTAGACCAGTAAAAACACAAATAAGAAAAATGCTCTTTTATACATCAACTCCTTTAGGTGCAAACCCGCATAACATAGCACGTTATCATGCTAGAGTCCTCCTTTAGAGCCTTTTTAAGTTTCATGCATACAGCAACCGACTCTACCGCCCCCTTCTCCTGACCAAAGGACATGCTTAAAATTCTAGTCTGGTACAGCGCTGGACCACTCCGGATTCAAAACGTAGACGACAGATGAGGAGAGCACACTGACAAACACAGAGAGGAAGGGGGACGGGAACATATAGGCTAGTAGATTTACTGAAGCAGGGAACTGGGAGCGTGGTTTCACATTTGCTGAAAAAAAAACGGCATATAGGATGTGTTTGCGGGGTTACAAGCGTTAATAAAAAGCACATTAATACATCATAAAGCAACAAATAAAAGACTATACAGTATATACTTACTTAGGGCATACCAACACCATAATGCTGAAATACACCACAGAGGTGGTGTTAGAGTACGAGAAAGCATTGCAGACTGGCTGGTCTCCATCATTAGTCTCTGTGTGTTTGCCTACTCTGTTCCTGCACACTAATCCGGCCTCTATTAGCTGTGTCATGATCACTGGAATGAACAATGAGCAAACAGGAGTCCTGGCTCCGGCCACTGAGCCTGACTGTGTGATCTACTGTGAATCAGCAGGGAATGGTTAAATCGACATATTAGTGATTGTGTATTTTTTTCTTCTTCAACTTTATAGAAAATTTCCAACAATGTACAAATATCACACATTTTTGAATAGAGAGAGAGAGAGAGAGAGAGAGCGAGAGAGAGAGAAGTAAACAAAGATCCAAATAATTGTGACAATTATTGACCCCCAGATATATTTATATATTTAAAAAAAGAAAAATATACTTAAAATGTGTAGCTAAGAAATTTGCAATATAATTTTAATGATGGATTTATTATTATTATTATTATGATCAGTGGAAGACTATATTCCAGAATACTCTCTGTAAAAGCCAATTATGCAATTAATTTGTGATAATAATTTAGTTAAAAAGATTAAAACATGGTGAAAATTGATATTTAATAAGAATTCATAATGATTGCACTATTTAAAATGCATAATTTATTAAATAATACAATAAAAAAATTATTTGGTATTTTTGGTTTCAGAGAGTAATACGTCATGATGTCATCAATTTGTATGTTTAGTTCAGATTGCAGTTTTGGATGTTGGAAGCAACCGAGGAAGCAACTGAGCTATATTGAATCTATTGTACCTTTGTATTTTGGTTTTGCAATTTTTCAGTAAACCATTTTTAAAAGAAGATCCGGTTTAATTCGCGTTTTTTCCAATTCTGGTTGTTGGACTAGCTGCAAAAGTTGGTACATAAGGATGTGCACGAAAAGTGTGCCACTACACTCTCATTCCCTTTTCCAGTAACAAAATAGTTGAACAAAACTATAAATGTATGCATAGGATGTATCTGACCCCACTTCGCTTGAGCAAAATGTACCCCAATGTATCATCCTGGTGTCACAGGTGTAAAACCTATTCAGGAACAATCAGGCATGTATTTTGGGAATACAAAAAGCTCTGGAAAGCAGTACAGGACTTTACAGCCAAAGCTTTCCAAATTCCATTGGACAACAAACCAACATTATACCTCTTTGGTACAGAACTAAACAAGACACTTGATCCTCCTTTTATAAAGAGACTGCATCATTTCCTATCTAGCAAAAAAATGCTCTTTGCTGGAACCAACAAAGTCCTCCAACATTGGAACTGTTCATACAACTCTTGAATGAAACAGTGCTCTTAGAACAATATACATACTACTTAAGAAAGAAAGGGGATGTTTTTCAGAAAATATGGATGCCTCTAAAAAGCCTCTGACTCACTGATGCCTCAGTTGTATTTTCATATTAAGTGTGACTTTACTTAATCACAGTAGAACTTTATTTGTTTATTATGATTTTTGTATTCTGTTCGTATGTTTATTTATTTATTTATTTATTTTTTTTTACTTTTGCTGCTATACTTGTGTCTATTAATATCCTTGTCTTTGCGCTTTTTTGCTTTTGTTTGTATGTTTATAAAAACCAATAAACAAAGGAAAAAAATTGTAAACAAAAAATACAAAAAAGAAAAAAACAAATAATGATAATAACAATAATAAAATAATTATATTAATAATATTGTAGGCGGCACAGTGGGTAGCACGATCGCCTCACAGCAAGAAGGTCATTGGTTCAAGTCCTGGCTAGCTTAGTTGGCATTTTTGTGTGGAGTGTACAAGTTCTCTTCCGGGTGCTCCGGTTTCCCCACAAGTCCAAAGACAAGCGATATAGGTGAGATGAATAAGCTAAATTGTTCGTTGTGTATGTGTGTGAATGCAAGAGTGTATGAGTATTTACCAGTGTTGGGTTACGGCTGCAAGGGCATTCGCTGTGTAAAACGTACTGGATAAGTTGGCGGTTTATTGCACTGTGGCGACCCCTGATTAATAAAGGGACTAAGCTGGAAAGAAAATGAATGAATTAATAAGCTTGTACCAACCGAAACAATCGTTTATACTCCAAACTAAAAGCCTGGTTATGATGTCACATGAGATGTCACCCAGGAGCAATGTACGTAAAAATAAACTATCATCCAGTGTTCAAGGAGTATACATTTCCATATATTCAAAGAGAGAACTCCAAATTTTATAAATGTTTTTGGAAGAACCTCTCAGACAGGGCCTAATTTGTTCAAGTTTTGAGCAGATGACTTCCAATGTAGCAGAATATGGCGCAAAAAGGAGACACAAAAGCCACAAAATCTGCTTTGTACTGACAAACTGACAAAGGAAGTCTACTAAACCAGGGGTTCCCAAACTTTTCAGCCCGCGACCTCCAAAATGACAACGCCAGTGACTCGTGACCCCCAATATTCTCTGAGGTGGTGGTTATAAATACAGAAACCTTGTATGCAATGACGCACACAAACACACCAATAGACCCAAGTCTATTCTTAGTTTTTTTTTAAATGTATGTCAGTGCTTTAAATGGGCTAGAAAGTTTAACCTACTGTTACAAAATCTGCTGCATCTGACAGTATTGCTGTGTCTGTAGTATAATGTAATTACCCGAGAAGTCGCAATCCAATAGAATTAGTAACTATAAGCTACTATAGTAACTATATAGTTTATAGTAACTATAAACGAATATTTTTTTCTCTTCAGTAGGTTATTGATAAAATACAGTAAGCCTTAAGGTTTAATAAAAATTTATTGATTTTTAAAAATCAACAGGCGACCCCCCTTCATTGTCCCGCGACCCCTCGGGGGGTCCCGACCCCCACTTTGAGAACCTCTGTACTAAACTGTTGTAGATAAAGGTTTAACTGCTTAAGGGCCCAACTACTTAAGACACTGGGCCCTATCCGCTTGTTAAGTGTGGTCACGAGAAGCGACTTCCGGGTCCAAGCGCTCTATTCAACTGTATAGGGAGACTCATAAAATGGTAATTATAAACGTTTACAAAGTGATTTAACACTTTCGAAAATCACGATCGCAATATATATGTCCATGCCTTATATCCGATGGCCAGAAAGTGATTAATTTTTTTTATAAATTGTTTAAATTTTCCTATTTGTGATGCAGCAAGCCCAGAGATTGTTGTGTATCCTATCACTTTACTTAAAATTAACTTTAATGTGTGAAATGAATTAAAAGTGATCATAAACAAATAATTTCTCAACTCAAATGAGTGGCGGCTTGGACCCGGAAACAGTATTACATACGTCACTAACACGTCATCAATTAACAAGTGGATTGACATGTTTGGCGCAATGTGTTGCTAATTTCTGACCAACGCAACCCTAATTTTCATGCTTTGCACCACGTTGTTTAAATAGTAAATCTGTTTGCATCACTTTGTGGACTCATGTGTGTTCCAGTTTAGAAAGGAGGTGGGTTAAGGGGCATTGTTAAAGCGTTGCTATTTTGAGGAACTAAAATAGACTATACAATTGATCAGCTGAAAACAGGTCTAAAGTCCAGCACAGAGCGCGTTATGCCAAGCTCAGACTGCATGATTTTCAAAGTAGTCATGTCACAGATGTTTTCACACTGCATGACTGTCTGGGGTAGCGCTAGTTGCTGCTTTGTTTGCACTGCAAGATGGATCGGCGACATGGGGTTTCATACTGCATGACTTTGCAATAGGAAGAATCGTCAACAACTTTGTCCAAACTATGTCTCACAACCAAACACACACAAGAAGTGACATGGAAACAACGCAAGGTCACGTAGTATATCTACTGTCATTAATAATGAGAAAGAAACCCAGAAGCTGTTTGACGCTCAGATGATGCGTCAAACAGTCTTCTGTCAAACTCCTGTTTGACAGTGCTCCTGTCAAATTTCCACTAGTTTTTTTCTTAATTTCTTGGGTCCAAATAAACTGAAAATGGGCGCTTTTAACTTTTTAACTAAACTCACACTGGCCTGCAGGTACGCATAGTAGTGAGTGCTGCTCTCTTATTGGCTGTAGGTAATCGCCGATGTTATTTTAAATCAAAACACATTTCAGATGGCATGATTTAGATTGGCAGACAGCGCCTGATAGTTAGCATACCAAATATCTCACGAGGGTCAGCAACTCATCAATGATTCTCTTAGATTGCGTCTATGAAAGTTCACACTGTGTGATTGTTACTCACGTGAATGACCACCAATTTGCCTTGTTGTGCGCCTTAAACGCATACACATTGCTTAATACACACAGGATGTACAGCAATATGCAAATCTATTTACAATAGAAAAAAAATTAAGGATTAAAATATTACGAAAATTATTATTTTCATAAATATAAAAACCACTGCCTCCAAGACTTCCTTATCTCGGGGGAGTTTTTTTCCGTTTACTCATGACAATCTGCTTTTGTATAATGTTAGTATTATCATTAGTATTATTTATTATATGCATATTTAAGTTTGTTTTAATAAAAACAAGTTTATGTTTGTCTACCTGTGAGGTTGTCAACTGAATTTAGAAATATTATTGAAATAAATCTTTGCACTTAACAAATGAAATTAAATATGTAGGCTAATGGACGTCTTCAGTGGAGTGCGTACAACACCGTTTCATTATCCATGAAAGTAAAGAAGTAAAAAGAAAGTAAAGAGGCCGAATGGATTTGTTTTACTTAAAATAATTTATCATTTAAAATGTTCTTCAAAACTGTATTGCACTCCAGAATCTGACAGATTGATTAGCTGTAGGCTCTAGAACAGTCATCTGAAACGTCATAGTGTTATGCTTGGATTTCATTAATAGCCTTCGATTTACTAACACAGAAGTAGTTAGCATTTTCCTCCTTTACAAAAACGTCACGAGAACAATGTTTAGTGGCTCAATTTATTACAACGTTTTTAAAAGACTAAACACTTTATTGATATAGTATATGACCAAGCACATGTGGTCAGAACACAAACGAGTTGCAGGTGATAAAGTATCAAGCGTTTCTCCCAAAGAAAAACCTCTCTATGCAAAATGCTAGCAAGCATCTATAGCTCCGCTCATGGTTTGCCTTTTTTCGATTACCCCTGGTCGGTGCAATGAAGCACGAACAAAATGGTAATGGTTGGCCTAGCCCGTTTGTAGCTTCATTTGCGCTCTTCCGAAACCTATAGGTGAC